AAATACCGAGATTCGCCAATCGGCGAGCGTTCCGATACGTGACAAATGTTTGAATGGCCTCCATTAAAATCTCGAGTGGTGTATTATTGTTATCGGTTGCACTGGCTGTAGGCCTTTTTTTGTCTCGAAGGAGAAGGAACGCCCGTGACGCGACCGTCAAATGACGCGCGATCGCTTCTTGCTTGAGGAAGCCACGTCGCGCGATTGCATTCCGGGTGAAACGCGACTAACGCTAATTTAAATGCATCGAAAAATACTTGACGGCGAGCGTGAGTGTGTATACAACAGTGCGACGAGTATAACCGTACTTATATACGTGTATGGATAGCGCGAGGAAATTAAATGAAAGAAAAACGAAAAGAGACGAAGAGACGAAAGGAAAAAGAATGCAATTGAAAAATCACGTTAAAACGCGGCACAATTAATCGTACGTGCTAAGAGTGCGCGACAGTCTGGTTCGCGAGTAAAATATGTTTCGAAGGTGCCATCTTTCTATAACTTTTAATAGTAAAGAGACACTCGACTTGTTTTGCTCGTGAATCAACTGTACGTGTTTTGCGTTTCACGTGGTGTCCTATACTATATATATGCGTACCACGTGGCGCGATGCAAATTCGTGATAATTGATTTGACATTTCTTTTCATCCTTCTTCTTTCAGACTCTCTTTCATTAAATCCTATCTTTTCTGTGGAGTACGAAAAAAAAAAAAAAAAAAAAAAAAAAAAAAAAAAAAAAAAAATAAAAAAAAATACTATTCGTGTTACGTCGAAATATAGTCGTATCTTTAAGTACGCAGTCTCGGCGCGCGCGCGCGCGCGCGCGCCTTCTGTAACCTATGGCACTAAGTATTCACGTTACTTAATTTCTGCTGCTTCCTTTCTTTCCTTCTTCCCTCTCTATCCTGCTTCCTCGCTATGAGAACCCTTTTCAAACTTCTCGATTTTCATACTTGTCACGCATCATCTCGTGCGGCTGGACTTATTAACGTCGCTCGCACGAATCGGTCTGTTCGTATCTTCGAGCCGCGCATAATAAGAAGCCGACTTCAACGAAAAATTCAAACTTAACGCAGCTCTTTTTTTCCGTAGTTATCGGTAATTTTTAATTAATAAGCATTCAAGTACTTCACGCGCTCGTATTCGTTAGTCGCGACGGACAAAGTCATTCTTCGTAGGACTAACGATCTCTCCTTTTTTTTTTCCTTTTGCTTTTCTTTACTCAATACCTCACATTGTTTTACCTTCCTCGTTTTTTTTTTTTTTTTTTTTCGATGAAAATTCACTCGCACTCGCAATAAAATCCTCACTCGTACGTATTCTAATTAATTTATTCACACACGCCTCAATCTCATTCGCTCGAACACATCACAGACACTCGCAGAAAGTCACCAGTCTCGTTCTAGTTGCATTTCAATCGCATCGCATTAAAAGGACTTCGGCCTCCTCCTGGCAAAGAAGATCTTCCTCGCAGACATCTCGATGATCGGACGCTCGTATACCGTCGTTAAACCGAGAATCGGCTGGCCGATATCTCGGTCCTAGGTTCGGCACTCGTAACTAGGGTTCCGGCCAACAGGTGCCAAAATCCAACCCTCCAAAATCCCGTACTTCCTAGGGACCCCGCGTTCATGGGAGCGACCTTCGCACTGAAGACGATCTTCCTGGCGAAGTCACGTCGCATGAGCGGATCCCGTTCATCTCGACTGCTTCCGCGTGGTGCCCAGCGCGCACCCTGCACCCTTATGACGCACTCGCGTCGGGACTCCTCGTCATCGTGACGCAACGAGAGCATCCCTTCGCGAGTATGCGTGTCTCCATTTTTTTTTTTCTGTGTACTTCAGTGTTGGTACTCTTGTATGTCATGTACATTGAGTAGGTGTATGTATAATTGTCGTGTGTTGGGGGTTTATTGTTTAGGGGTGCGGGTTCAGCTTCTGTATAACGGGTCTGGCGGGGCACCAGTAGAAGGCAGTTTTAATGTATCTTTTTTTTTTTTTTTCAATTATTTTCAAGGGTTAAGTACGGGGATTGGGGGTGGACCTCGCGCGCCCTGCCGGCCAGGACTTGTACCTCACACAACTCCCTAGTTACGAGTACCGAGACCTAGTATTACGCGACGTAGTTCTTTGATTTTTCTCTCGTTTATATGTATGTATATATGTATATATATATAATATATATAAATAGTTCCATATACATACGTATGGAAACACGGCTTAAAGATTAATTGTGGTTAGCTTTCAAGTTTCCGTGCTGATGGTTAATATTGTTGAATTAATCGTCCGGGTGTTGTAGCATTTTCAAGAGAAACAAAAGAAAGAAAGAGAAAAAAGAACAGACAAAAAAGCAAACCGCTCACAATTCCCTCGTTAAGACTTACAAAAAATCGCGTCCCTGATTTTTATTTTTTTTTATTTTTTTATTTTTTTTTCATTTCTTCGCTCGTGTCGCTGTCACTCGCACTCCCGTGTCTCGCGCAAAACGTACGGGTAACACGCAATCGCTCGGAACGTCTTTCTACATGAGCAATTTCGTTTTCTCGCATTTTTCTTCTCTCTCTCTCTCTCTCTCTTTTTTCTATTTTGGTACTTAACAGACAAACAGACACACGCCTATATGCATTCTCTCGCAATCTCCCTTAAAATTATCCCCGACTCTCGCGAATTTCATTCACTCTCTAGATTATAAGATTTTGAATATTTGCCTTTCTCTCTCTAACACATCCCTTAAAATTATCCCCGACTCTCGCGAATTTCATTCACTCTCTAGATTATAAGATTTTGAATATTTGCCTTTCTCTCTCTAACACACTCATTCTCTCCTACTTTTTTCCCTCTCTCTCTCTCTCTCTCTCTCTCTCTGTGAGTCTACGACCGTTCTCGAATCCCGTGTCCTAATCGCGCGATACAAGTGGTAACACCGATCACTAATAATTTAAAAACTACTCTACATTCTCAAACGTAGCACTTTTCCTTAATCCTGATATCTCATTTAAAAATAGACACAAATTTATTTGTGACGACCTTAAACCTATTACGTATATTCTGATCACGGTTAATTACTCGTCATTGCGTTTTCGTTCGATCGATCCGTTTATACGTTAATCAACGATTCAAGACTTTTCAGCTTGCCTCTCGCTAATGTCTCACGTCCTTATTCCTAGGCTACCCAGCATTAGACACTGCGAGAATACATAGTAGTGCCTCTGCCGAAACACCTAACCTCTCCGGAGTTAATTTGACATCCCTTTAAGCGAGACACTTTTGCGTTTCTTCAGCCGATCGTTTATCTTCCTCTTTTTTTCCCCTTTTCCTTTTTATAGATCCTAAAGTCAACGTGAACCGAACGCGAACGAGTTCGAAGCGCGAGCGTCGTGACGGCCAAACATTCCCATATATAAATAGTAATAAAAACGATGAAATAAAGTAAAAGAAAATCGTTCGCCACAATGATGAACTCTGTCACAATCGGAGACAACGTAAGATCGGTTCGCCAGCAGAGCCTTCGGCGAATCGAATCGATATCCGATATTCGAGTAAAACTTCATTGCCTAAAACAACCATATCCGGCCGTCGCGACGCACGAAACTCGCTCACCTCTACGACACACGCGATTATCATTGGTTCTCGAGATTATCTCGCTTTGTGTTATCGCAGCCTGGCCTGCGTCGTGTTCTCCAGCGATCGGTAAATCTTCTGCCTAGGCCCCGAAAAAGATCTCAATTTCCTAGCCACGATACACTTGCGATACCTTAAAGGAAGTGCGCCCCCTAATGCCCGAAAAAAAAGAAAACGCTCCTGCGAATACCGATCCGCGAAAGACCATCGACTTCCTCTGTCTTAATAGCGGCACCGCGATGTTTCTCGTCAGGTCAGCAACTTACGGCACTCGAAATCTATCGGTTTCACTCAGGCTCGCGATCATATATACCATTTACATGTATATATATAGATATATATACCATACACAAATATATAGTTATACTATATTTATATATATACATATACCGGTATTCCTCGTTCGTAGAGAAAGCAAAAGTCCCACGAATCCCACCCCCACGAGCCTACCCGGGAATGTAGATGATATATCGAGAGACGCGGTACCGCGAGAGACAGAAAAGCAAAGAGACACAGAGAGAACGAAGAGGAAAAGAATAATAAACAGTTAGGAAGACTGATGAGAGCGAGAAGAAAGAATGCAGATAGAAATAAAGAAAAAAAAAAAAAGTACAGACAGAAGAGCAAAGATAGCCGAGACGGACAATCTTGATGGAAGAACTCCGCGCCCGTTATATATAAAAGAAAAAGTCTCATTCGCCATTACGAACCATAGAGTATTTATACAGGGCGGATCACTCAGCCGACGCGAAAGCGTAACGCAAGTGTGGTGAGATCCCGTGAGAATGATTATCGGCTAAGTGGACGGGAACGAGAGAATCGGAAGACCATAGGGCTGTGCAACGAGACATTTTCCGTTCCGAATATCAAGAGGAACAGCGATACCTCGAACGTGACGTAAGAGTAGCAAAGAAAGGACATAGGAGAATGTACAAGAATGAGATAACAATGACGTAACAGGAAAAGAAGTACGAACAAGAATAGAAGAGCAACGTATAACATAAAGGATCGAGAGAAGAAGTAGAAAGCTTTCGCAGATCGGTATAGTTGCGTCTATTACGAGCACGGATAGACGGCCGAGCTGATGGTATGGTAGGCGGCGAGGGCGGCGTGGGCGTGCGCGTGCGCGTGCGCGTGCGCAGGGGGCGCGGATGCGGCTGCGTGCGGCGAGGCCATCGCGGAGGCCGCCGCTGCCATCATCATCTGTTGGTGCGTTCGCTTTAGGGAGTTGGGAGTTGTGGCGGCGCTACTGGGGGTGTTCGATTGCGGGTGGTTTTGGTTTTGGTTTTGGCTCAGTTGCAAGGGGGTGGTACTGCCAATGGCGTGATGGGGGGTGATCGCGTCGTGCGGATAATAAGACGTTGACGATGGTGAGGTACTCACGACGTCCGGCGTGCTGGCTCCGTCCGTGTGGCTGGTGCTGTCGGCGGTGCTCCTGGGTCCGCCGTCCAGTCCGTTCCCCATTTCCGGTGGCTTCGTACTCTCCCGGTCGTCGATCACCAGGTCTATCGGCATCTTGCCCTTCAAACAGCTGATGTATCGGTGGCAGAAGTTGTCGCAGAGCTCGTGAACCTGCGGGCCAAATTGAAAGAGATTCTTTAGCATTAGGGACTCACGAGACATCGCGCAGTCGCAATGGCTCAAATATCTCAAAGAGACGCAGGACGGAGCGAGCGTCGAGAGACGGCTCCGCTCCTGGACATATCTCACGAGTACCAAAGGGAGAAACGTAGAGGGGACTCGCATGGTATGAGAATCGCATCTCGAGGCCGCAGAAGCGGTCTGGCAGGGAGTCGATTCTACGGGGAGGAGGTCTGACCGGTGTCCAGTCGACCAGAATGTTATGTATGCAAATGAGGGCTGACAGGCCTATGGGATACCTCCTCTACCTCCTCGGCCATCGTCCTCCTAAGGAGCCGACACCCGCGCTCCTAGCCATGGGTACCACTCGATTCGGTTTAGAAAAAATATATTATATAAGCAAAAACAAATAAAAATCGTTATCTTGTTATATGTAAATCAGAGGGCCGTATTATGATGCCGCTCCGGCCTATACGATCTCGGCTTACGTGTACCGTATCTACTGGGAGGCTTACTTATAACGCTATTCTTATTACGTATTTATGTATAATAGAGAAGAGAAGCAGCCATCTTGTTAAACTTTACAAGGGGGTCCAATAGACAGCCCATTCCGAACCTCCGCATTGCTAAACAATACTCGCGTTTATCATGCGTCAACTTATGCGTGGCTCGATTGAATTCGTATCAAAGGATAGCACGGGTGATGTACCGTGCAAAAAAAAAAGATAAGAAAAAAAGACGAAGAAAAGAGCTAATAAAATAACAGCGACAATATGACGCCGGCAGTATACTACGCGATATATCGCCACGATCGCGGCCAAACTTTTTCCAGGAACAATGCGCTAATAAAAGACCAAGTTCAAGCAGTCCCGCGGACAACGAACGGGGAGACCTCGAGGACGCAGTCAATGTTTTCCCTACACGAAGAAGATTCGTCGCGCTCGTTACTCCGCTTACTAGACAAGAAGGGCCGCGCGGCAACCTTCGGCAATGTAACGTTCGTCTGTTTTTCTTCTTTTTTTTTTTTTACATATTATATATTTTTTTATTCACTCTCTACTCCTCCATGGGATTCCCTTCGAAGCATAGCCAACGCTACGGTAACACAATGCCTGGAGATGACTAGACTCTTAACGGCAAGGGTCCGAAGGACAGCAGCTATAATGCCGGACTGGTTAGAATTTGATCCGCCGGGAGTCGAGCCGAACCGGCGGCCGACATAATGCTTAAGAAGCGAAGAAACAAAGCCCGCGTCGATACGAGAAGGAAAGGCCTCTGGCTCTCGCGGTGGCTCCTCTCTATGTGCTCCATACAAACCCGTAATATGTATAGGCCCTTCAAAAGTTCCCTAACTGCATCTCTTAGCACTGACGCTGCTATACTTCTCGGCGTCACTGTACCAAGAAGTGTGCTGGAGGCTAGTAGCAGCAAGTTAGTAGAAAGTTAGTATAGCGACTACCGGCCACCGGGTAGGGTAGGCAGTAGGTAGTGGAGCCACGTAGGCAGGTAACACTGACCGGCCTGCTGCCGGAACTAATACCCCCATGTGTTTACCCCGTTGTTAAACATTGACTTTTATTAATTTGGGCATCGAGAAAAAGAAGCCGAGTGAGGTCTCTTTTACGACGGTGCGCCGCGCACGCTTCTCGGCTAGCCTATACACTCCTACTACTCGCTCCTCCCCCCGTCATTCTAAGCAACGCGAACAGTGTGGTCGGCGACGTAACAGCCAGAAAGCATTTTTACGGCCTCCGTAGTAGCGAGGGTGTGTTGCACAAGCTGCTATGAAACGAGCCTGGAGGGGAACGAGGTGACCGATTTTGCTTGAGGGAATTCGATCGACTCTTTAAACAGGAAAAAGAGGAGCTCCCGATTTTAATAGTCACTGTTGCGCGAACTCGGGTTCCTTACGTGAAGCATAGATCTACGTATTGCAGCATCAGAGTTAATGGACCTTTCTCGAACAATTTAAATTTCTCGCTAGCCCTCGTGAACTCGTCTGCAGCTATGCGAGCTAATAGTTTAAGAAATGGATACTCGCGGCCGGATGAAGACTTCGGGTTTGGTTGCAATGCCTCCGGCTAAACCGACGCGGCCTATCAACCCTCGAGTTACGACGTTATCCTATACCTCACGCCATCACCTATCCATGGCGTGACACGTGATCTGGATATTTGCTTCTTAAACGCACGAAACGTATCGTCCGACTCGTCCTCTGAGTTTCGAAAGGAGTGGAGAAAAGTACGGTAGGAGGGCAAATGAAATACAAGATATTAAGACACGCGACAGTAGTAAGGGAAGATTCAGGAGACGTCATAACGTACAGCCGAGTCTAGGACACGCAATGCCGAAACCTCTCGTCATCAACTGCATCATGGGAATAGTACCAGGAATAAAGAGAGCAAAGGGGATACAGTGGAATGATTTCTCGGAGTCGAGCGAACCGCCCGGTAACCGGATATCGGCAGAGTCACAACGAAATCTAAACGCCAGCATCGCTCGCGCAGTCCTTCGTTTTTCGACGAGAGAACCAAGCATTACAAAAAAAATATCCGTACTCCCCACGACGTAAATCAACCGCTCACGACATTCTTCCATGGATCGAACTTTCTATTTCTTTTTTTTTTTTTTTGTGGTACGATCGACGACCTTATAGCCAAGTTCATTCTAAACCGATTTTATAGCCGATATATCGAGGTACCAGAAACACGTTAGAAAGGTGGAGAAAAAAATATCAAATGTCTCAGGCTCGATTCGAAAGCATCTCAATTAATCTGGACCAAGAATTAAGATCCAGATTGATAGTCTGTCCCTTCGGTACATCCTAGGAAACTCAAATCCTGTGTAGATCGGTATCTACGCGTAGCCGATCGATATGTGACTGATTTTCAAGAAAGATATGGAATGGCTGGGAATGTTTTTTTTTTTTTTTTTTTTTTTTTTTTTTTTTTTTTTTTTTTTTTTTTTTTTTTTTTTTTTTTTTTTTTTTTTTAAATGCCGCAATCCATAAAATTTTGTTAGACCAATATTCCAAGTCTTTACGATAACGATTTACCCTACAAACTATCTTCCGATGCAATACAAGACGTGCGTACGTGCACATACGGATACAAAGTGTGAAACACGTAACCCTGACTATACCATTGTCGGAAGGTGGTATCGCGGTACGAACGTCAGAAGGAACTCAATGGCCGCACGACACTGTTGGGACGTCGCCCGTAACTGGAGATTATTCATATTTCATGACCGATTTAACAAGGTCGACGCTATACGGGGAGTATTATATAGGTCCCAGCCATTCTCTTGCGACCCATAGCCGCATGGGCTTAGTACGTACGAAATGGGACACGTTGCTTGTACGCGGGAGTCCGAAAAAGAATTAAAACGACAATTTCGAGGGAACAAGAATTTCTTCGGGTTTACGAGCAGAGACGGGAAGCACAGAGTGAGAAAAGGAGTTAAAGCGTAACACGTGTGAATAAAAGGGGAAAAAGAGACTCCGAAATCACAAGCGCTGCTCTTCTCAATATGGGAATATGGTTCGAAGCTATTACGGGGCGTATCTCGAAACGAGTTCTAGATTCAGGGACTCGAGACGAGCTGTCCCTCGATTCGCTCTATCTTCGTTCCCCCGTACTCCGCCGTCCTCCGTTGGTGCACACTGGAGGGCAGAGGGATGGTCGG